TACTCTTCCTCTGAGGCTGAGAAAGTGTGACATGCCCAAAGTCACCCAGTGGGCTTCCACGGCAGAGCAGAGATTTGAACCCTGGTCTCCAGAGTCCTAGTCCAACACCCAAACCACTACATTATGCTGGCTCCATATCTCATTTTACATCAAGATGCTGAGTGATGTGAAGAATTTGTGGGAATAAAAGCATGCAAATTTCAAAATACTAATTCAAGATTTCCATTGTGAAATTAAGAATATGGTAAGAACTGAAGGAATTCATTTCTAGCAGGTCAATTGAAAGTTGTTGTGTAAGGAAAGAAAATTAAAACGAAGAGGGGGGAAATCCTAACAGTTTGGGATTCCATGGAATGGAGTCATAAATTTTTACTGGAATAAATTTGCACTTAATAACCCTTGTGGGATAGAAGCATGCAACAGCCTGAAACAATTCTTTAGCAACTGTATTTGGGTACTTTTTATTTATCTATTTGTTCAAAAATATGTTACAGTCAAAGAGGGCATTCTGGAGAACTGGTTGCAAGTAATTTCAAGTAATAAAAGGCCAACGAGGTAAAGAGAAGTATAATAATAATAATAATAATAATAATAATAATAATAATAATAATAATAATAATAATAATAATAATTTATTTCTATCCCGCCCCTTTACCGAAGCAATCGGGGCAGCTTACATCAATAAAATATCACAGTATATCCTCCTAGACCCATCCTATGGATATTAGATATTCCAGATGTTGTACTGCAATATGATGAAACATGAAGATACTGGTTGAGATCTGCTCCGCTTTGAGAGGATCTCAAGCAAAGGGACTGGGCAGAACTGGTATTAAAGCAGAGGTGGGTACCATTCGACATGCCAGATGTTGTTTGGCTGCAGCTCTCACCAGCCCTGGCCATTATGAGCAATAGTGAAAGATGATGTGAGTCTAACAGTATCTGGAGGGTCCCAACCTGTGAATCCCTCAGTTAAAGTAATATTGGATTGTTTCAAAGGGAGAAGCATCAAAGAATCATAGATTGGAAGGGATTCCCAATGTCGTCTCGTTCAGTGGTTCTCAACCTTTGGTCCTCCAGGTGTTTTGGACTTCAGCTCCCAGAAATGCCTGACTTTTGGCTAAGCTAACTGGTGTTTCTAGGAGCTGAAGACCAAAACAGATGGAGCATCCCAATCAGATGCTCCAGGTGTTTTGGATCTCAAACCAAGGAGAGTTTATCATTTTCTGAGGCAGTCTGTTCTGCTGTCAGACAATTCCTGGTGTCTTGAAGTTCTTTCTTATATTTAATTGGAATCTCCTATGTTGTAATTTGAAGCCATTTGGTTCAAGTCCTACTCTATGCCTTGTTACCATGAAGGATGGCTACTAATCATCATGCAAGAAGGATGGGCAAATGTAGAAAGTCTAGAGTGCCACATTTTGGGCATTTCCTGGTATCTGGTACCCCTGATCCCATGGGCTCCAAACACTCATTCAGACAAGATCAGAACTAACATCAGAACATAAATCCTGACTGACATCCACCAAGATCTGCTGCTTGAGGCAACTGTTTTATTTGCTTAAAGGCAAGGCTGGTGCAGGATCTACATTTTCCCTTGAGAAATGAACAAGCACAAATATGGAGCCAGCACATATGTCCATGTTAAAAGGCTGGCCTTGCATATAATCTCTACACAATTTAAGCCCTTGTGTATATAACAGTTAGCTTTCTGAAATTAAAAAAATTAAATTTTAAAAAAGTCAGATTTCTAGTCCTCTTTGGCTTCAACATGTCTGAGCAAAGCCTGCCAAAATCTCAGAAACCAGACAGCTGATTGAATAGGATTTCTAGTGGTTAAGAGGCTTGGGCAATTTATAGTGTTGCACCTTGACCAGTGAAACCAAATTATGGAAAGTAATAAGGATTGCAGAATGCAAAGTGTCAAAGAAGATAAATTGGATAAATTCTGCTAGACAGGTTGCAGAATTCTGATCTCCCAAGCATAGAATTTGAACTCTTTCTGTATTTGGCTGTGTGTGCACATATTTAAGGCCACAAACAGAAAGAAATCAAATTGTGTCTCTGTCGGTGCGTGTACATACACATGGACACACACCCAGGGTGACCAGACATCCTCCTTTTCCAGGACATATCTTATATTTCAGCCTCCTGCCCATGAAGAATTCCAAAATGTCTTTCCATTTTGAGCATAATTAAGAAGCATGCATTTATATGAGTGTTTTTAACTTTTACTTAGTAATGACCCACATTTTCCATGAATGTCCTACATTTTGCAGTGTCTTCTTCTCCTTCGTGGTTATGACAGCTGCTCAGCCTGCACACACCTGTCCTATAGTATCTACAATTTGTTCAGAAGTCTCATTGCGTTCACTCGGTTTAGCAGATTTGCAGCTATGTACATGTAAGTCTAATATTAGGTTCTCCAGTGATACGCTAGTCCTGATTTTCCAAAAGGGATTTCTTCCCATGTTCTTCTTTTTAGCATCGGAGCAAAACTGCAGAATACTCCTGTGTAGTCACATCTTTAAACGCTAAGGTTGTTGTTTTTTTGGAAAACAAATTCTGCTTCTTCATCTTGCCAAACTGGCCAGGAATATTTGGAGTGTGCTGGAACAATGCAGAGAGACCCAAGTGCTGTTGATTTTGGATTGTACATTCTTGTGGTCTAATTATCTCATCAGAAGTGGAGCTTGACTCAGCGAGCATCTTTAAATGAAGCCCGGCTCTGTTCCAAAAACCTGCAGGGGGCAAAGGGGGGGGGTGAAGTGGGGTGGGACGAGATGAGGGACTAGCTGGTGGGAGGGTTTCAAAATCATAATCATAAAGCTTCCTGCAGTTGTCAGGAGGACGTGAGCCAGAGATCGTGGAAAGTAATTGTTGGGGCTTTCCTACGTGCAGAAACAGAAATTTTTGCAACCTTTGATCCCAGTCTGAGAGCTGTCTGGACACTCATATTGGCAGGAACAGTGCAGCAGAAAACATTGTAGGGTTGAAACTCTAGAGTATTTTCTCTAAGGAAGGACTGTAATATGGGTGGCTGGTGGGCATCTCTCTTCATCCTCATGTGGGCAGGGATGGATTCAAGGGCTTTGGGGCTGGGCCCCCACAACAAGGGGAAGGACCCTGCAGAACGGCTCCAGCACCGGGTGCAACGTGGCTCCTGCACCTACACATTCCTGTTGCCAGAGGCTGGGGACTGTGATTCCTCGATTGCTGAGTACCAGGTTTCCAACTCGCTCCAGAGAGATGCCCCACCTGTGGCTGAGGCCAAGTGGCCAGTCAAGAGGCTTCAGCAGCTGGAAGACATCATGGAGAACAATACCCAGTGGCTGCAGAAGGTAAGGCCAAGGGTGGGCTTGTCTCAGGAAAGGGACTTTCAGTGCTCTTGGTTCAGTGCTTGAGCACCAAACCAGGAGCACCCAGGGTAGTCCCTGCAGAGAAAGGTACCACTAGGAGAACCCATTCCTGATTCCATTAGGGAGAGTACATGTCTAACCAAAATGTAGAGAGATCTTGTAACACCTTTGAAACTAACTGAAAGAAAGAAATTGGCAGCATGAGCTTTCGTAGACTAAAGTCTACTTCCTCAGATGCATTCGGATTTGCAGGAAGTAGACTGAAGGCTACAAGATCTCTCTACATACTGATTCTACAGACCAACATGGCTATATCTTTGATGTCTAACCCAAGTTAGACACCCTTTGAACCTGAAGGGCTCCATTCAGCTTTAGTGGCCAGATGGCCATTGCTTAGGGATTCCACCTCTTTCTCCATAAATCTATCTTGTCTCCTTTTAAAGCCATCTAAGAATTACAGCAAACTGCCTAAATACTGTACCCTTAAAGCAGCAGGTCTTTTTTGATCTTGGAAGTTATGCTGGGTCAGCCCTTGTTAGTACTTGGATGGGAACCCACCAATGAATACTGGGGGTTGTAGCCTATATTTTGGAGGAAGGAATATTCAAAAGTTTACTTTTTGAATGTAAACATGCACAAGGTCAGTCTGTAACACATATAACTCAGGTCTTTAACACCAGTTTGCTGTTATCTTTTTTGGATGACAGTGCCCACATTTCTGCATCCAGTTGGCTGGAGGATAATGGGAACTGAAGTCAAACAGATATGTCTTCCAGGCTCTCTCATAATGTGCAAAAGTTGCCAATACCTGAGCAATGCCTCTGAGGATTTAAAATCTCCCCTTACTCATTTCATTTTATTTTTCAGGATTAAATTTATCCACTTTATTCTTTTCCATGTTTCTTCTGCATCAATACTTCCATTTTTGCTATTTTACCCAATATAAACCTGTAGCACAGGTTCCAGATATACATTTCTTCCCCTTGCTATCATGTTACCAAAATATTAGGAGAGTACATACTTAAACCACTATCTGAAAAGTCTCAATTGCCTTTATACAGAGCATTGAAATAACACATTATGAGCAATACAATTGCCTATAAAGAGTTACCATGTATGTGTTATAATAGTAGTAGCTGTTGCAGTTGTTGTAACAAAGGTGTATCAAAGATACATTGCAAAAGCAAAACATGGGAATAAAGTTACTTTTAATAAAGTAAAGCTTTTCATGTTTCTTTTAATTGGCATTTTCCGAAACATTTTAACACAATGTTTTCCAGCTCTTATGCCAGCTCCTTGCCTTTTTAAAGGTTGTTTTAAAAACATGAGAGGTCACAACAAACAATAAGAAGGTAGCGTGTGTTTTATTATGTATCTTATTATCTTCTTTTACTCACTCTCTCACACACACAATCTTTTCTATAAGAAATGTTACATGGTTGGTAAATTTTGTATATATGATTTATATGAAGGAAGATAACAGATAAGTGTGTGTAACCTTTGATAAAAACAATATTTAAAAAAAAATAAAGGGCCAAATTTTGCTGTCAAAAAGAAAGAAAGAGAATAGCATGTAGTAGCAGCTCATAGCTTCTATGTCAATGGGACTAGTGAATCCCATCTGAGTTTTGGTATAAACTTTAAGAGAGGTGCTGAACCCTCTCCCCAAAATAAATTCAGCACAATGTGAAGTCAAAGGCTTTCAAGGCCGGCATCTATAGAAGATGCTGACCACAGATGTAGGCGAAACATAAGGAATACATTCTTCTAGA